TAACTCAGACTTGAATAGAAGTTATTAATAACATTCTGGACTATATAGCACATTTACGTAAAAATTAAATTACCTCGTTTCCATAACTAGCATTATTATATTAAAAGGGGGAGGGGGTATTGCAACTAATTCCAGTCGTAATTTATTGATATTTATTCCCATATTTAATTTACTTAGTAATAATAGTATTACTAATACTAGTAAAAGTTGAACATTTCAAGTTTCTTATTGCACAGAATTGATGTAAAAACACATAATTATCAAATGATTCATATACTTTTTATGTTAAAATATAATATATTCGTACATCTTGTTACACTAGCTAACGTATTCCAACGTGCTCTGAAATACACTCCAAAAAATAAACCTTTCACTTTCTCCCGCATGTAGCTATCAACACCGTTAGAGATTACGATCCTAAAATCGCCACCTATTATTTAGTAAAACCAAAAACATCTGTACTCTTAAGATTAAACATATCATAATGTTGAGTTCCGCTTAAAAGATATTATACATGGAAACGTAAAATTTAAAATCATAACATGCCTCACCAACTACAACTAATTGAGGTACTTTTATTCATATAGCAAAGAACCACTTCATTTAAAAAGGCTAATTCAAATTATCAAATAAAATGAATGTTAAAGATATAAATGGCAAAAAGTGGAGATATTTTTTTAAGTAAAACATTTTAAACTAATTTTGAAAAATGTAAAGTCTTACACAGTGAAAAACAACAACAAATATACTCAAATATATAGATTTTTATAGGCTATGATTTCTTGAGTTTAGAAAAAGAAATGGGGAAAAATCAGAATAAAAAAAAAATAGTTAAAAATATTGTTCTGTTTTTGTAAATAAGCACAAAGCTACACAAAGGACGATATGTGATCTGCCCACCAAGGGTATCGAAACCTGGATTATTGCGTTGTAAGTTCGCAGACATACCGCTGTGCCACTGGGGGGCGTTAAAAATATATCGAAGGATAATGGCTCACCTGATAACTCGGATAATACATTAAAGTTGAACGAATCATATCGAAATTGACACAAAAATCAACAAACCTCGTTAGAGTAAACACAGAAGAAATTATTGTTACGTATCTGGTCATTTGTTAATTTCCTGTATAAATTCTTCCCAAGGAACTTCAGCGATACAAGTCCATTCTTAAACAGAACTAGTTTATTCTTTCTCAATACAACTTTGCAATACACAGAATTTCCACAGTCACTTTACTTACGGTCACTCGATTATCTGTCTCTATCTCCATCTATCTGCAATTATTATCTCCACTTTATTTGCCGGGCTTATATACTAAAATAGAAGGCGCCTAGAAAAGACTAGAGTTGCCAGAAACAGTCATGATCCTTCTAGAAACTCTAGCGCGCAGGCTTCCAGAGTCACGTGACTTCCGCTGTCGTAACATTGTCAATAACTATACCAAGCTGAACAAACCAAAACACCAGCAATAGTTGTAACACAATGCTTCTTCTGCTAGAAACTTGGACATGTTTCAGCAACATGCCAAGTAACCCCAAGATGTGTCTGATGTGGTGGAGAACACCACAAAATGCACTAAGGAACACACAACCCCTAAATGCTGTAATTGTGGCGAAAGCCACAGAGAAAATTACAAAGGCTGTGAAAAATATAAACAAATAAAAAATTGTAATTTCAAATTAAAAAAAACAGCAATGAGAAAAGATACAAATACCAACACAACAAACAAAACAACCACTACTACCATCACCACAACACTCTAAAACAACATCAGTGCTTAGAACACCGAACCAACAACAAGAAGAAACACAATAACCAATACGAAATAGTAACGTTACGTATCCGCTTGTTTGTTTGTTTTCGGTAGAAATTCTTACCGAGGATCTTCAGCGATACAAATCCTTTCTTAATTAAACCAGTTTATTCTTCCTCGATACAAACTTTTAATACACAGTAGTTCCACAATCAGTACGTTTCTCGTCACTTTAAACTTAACAATTTTTATAATACACGCATAATACATCACAGCGATTCACAGTATCGATAACTTTCCTTTCGATGAGTGAAAAACACACACTTTACGGCTCACTAGCTCGAAACTAACAGAATCATAAATGACACGGAACACAAAGTAACTACTGCTCTCTCTTCATTTATATATATCCCCTGCTGGCTTTCGCTGCCAGGCTTATATACTAATGAAGAGGGCATCTCGAACACACTCGGACTTCCCCGATCATTCGAGAAACTCATCACCACGTCATGACTTCAGCTGTCGTAACAGTAACATTAATGAAACAACCACAAGTCCCAAAGATTAACGAAACAAAGAAAAATTCCAAAACGACTATAATAACGAACAGTAAAAAAACAAAAAACAACACACATATTCATGGAGATTATTAAAATATCTTCACTGATTTTATAACAGAATATTCAAAGCCATCACAAACAAAAGCTTGCATTGAAATTCTAATTACCGTAGCAAAACAACACATCACACCATAACTACCACAAATAATCACATCTATCACAAGATATTTCTTCGTATAAATTCACCATCTAGCATATCAAGATCCAAGGTGCACTTGCTTTCAAGAAACACAAGATTGGTTATTGAAGACATCACCCAACAAAATAAACCTGATATACTTGTTATAAGCGAAACTCTAATGTATACAAAAAATAGACCTGAAATCTGCGGTTATACAGCTATAAGAAAAGATAGATTACATAAACAGGATCTTAACAAAGGAATAGCCTTACTATACAAAATAAATCACGCTTGTCAGTGAGTGAAGTTAAAATGAATACTATAAATGAATGTATAGTTATAGACAAATACTTAAATAATAACATATATGTAACGATGTCAGGCATATATTGCTCATCCACTAATCTCATAGATATATAATTATTGAATAATATGTACTCTCGTAACACAATCTAAATTTTAATAAGTGATTGATTTAAATAATAAGCATCAAAACTTTGGATGCAGAGTAACGAATACAAATGGTAGACGTTTACAACATTGTTCTTCTAAATGATGCTACTTCAACCAATACATCCTATTCACACAACAGCAGCGATATACTAGATTTGTGTTTAAGCTCATGAAATATGATCCAAAATGTTTACATCTTAACGTAGTACAACATCTTGATAGTGATCATCTACCAATTTGGTATGATTTCAATCCCCTTCCAGCAAAATGGATCAAATCACCCAGAAAAATTTAACTATAAATAAAACAATCTGGGATGAATATGCATCACTCCTGGACAAAGTCTTGCCAAACATTATAACACATAGTGCCACGAACTCATCTGAAATAGACATATTGTTACGTCTCCGTTTGTTAATTAACTTCCCGTAACTTCGTTCCGACGAAACTTTAGCGACACAAGTATTTACTTAATAAAACTGGTTTATTCTTTCCGAATACAACTTTACGATACACTTATTTTCAACAGTCGCGCTATAACAAACTATAATAACGACGTTAACTTCAACAATACGTCTCTCTCTGACTGCAGTTCAATTACTCATTACCTACACACACATTCCTCCCCCGTCACGTTGTCACCCTCTTTTATATTCCACACTACCCTATATCTAGTAAATACTAGAGCATTCGCCAAGGTACAGGATAGTTCTAGAAAATAGGTGGCGCCACACCAGTCATGTGACTCGCTGACGCAACAATATATTATTAAACAATCATTGAGTGCCTTAACAAATAAATCCATTAAAAACAAGATACAAACAGAAGTTAAATTTTTAAAACAAGAAAAATTGGACCAATACTGTTCCCAACTAAATGGAAAAACAGAACCAAAACAATTATGGACACATATAAAACGATTCACAAACAGAGGAAACACAACACGCACATACCCACCCTAAGAAAACAATTACACAATAGCACACACAAATAAAGACAAGGCAGAAGCTTTTAGTTAAACAACACTTACAGAAAACGTTCCGAACACACCACGAACCAGATATAAATATTGTTGCGTCAGCGAGGTCACGTGACTAGTATCACGCCACCTCCTTCTCGAAATATCCTGTTCCTTCGTGAATTGTCGGGAGACTTCTAGATTGGGGGTAGTCTGGTATATATAAGACCGGCCACGAAGCGACCGGGAGGTAATGAGTAATTGAACTGCAGTCAGAGAGTGTATAATTGAACTGAGTATTGTTGAAGTCGAGCATGTGAGACGTTCGTTGAGAACTATAGCGTTTATTATAGAGCGACTGTTGAAATTAAGTGTATCGTAAAGTTGTATTCGGAAAGAATAAACCAGTTTTATTTAAGAAAGGACTTGTGTCGCTAAAGTTTCGTCGGAACGAATTTACGGAAAATTAACTAACGAACGGAGACGTAACAATATTCATTTCTACAACGAAGTCAATTTGTAACAAATAACATAGATATGCACAAACCACTATTTCCAGCAAGCATAAACAACAATAAACGATGATAAAGACAAAACACATACAGCACAACAGATGACAAAAGAAATAACACAAATAGAGGTTATACAAGCAATAAAAGCTACCAAGAACAAAGCTCCAGACGAAGATACAATACGTTGGCATAAAAGCTGTCCTTCTCAAACAAAGGTACTCAAGAGATTGTTTGAATACCTTACAGCACTTTTTAACCTGTCGCTTAACTCTGGATACATCCCAATTTCTTGGAAGCAAACAAGTGTCTTAATGTTCTAAAAAGAAGGAAAGCCAGCCAATAAACCGAACAGTTACTGTCTGACCAGCCTGACCAGCTGCATAGGAAAAATCTTAGAACGAATAATAAGTAATAGGCTCTTCACATATTTGAAGATAATATCTAAATTATTCGAAGTTAAAAATGAACATAGAAAAAATATGGCAAACGACAGATGATTTAGTTGGATTAAATGAACCCATCGTAGATAGTTTTAACAAAAAAATAATGTACTGTCGGATGCTTTCTTGATATCGAGAAAGTATTCGACAGTTTATGGAACAATGGTCTCAGGTTCTGCATTTCAGAAATGGAAATGCCGTACAATATTATTCGCTGGCTGTCAAACATTTTGGAAAACAGAAAATGTAGAGGGAACCTTCTCAGAGTCATTTACTCCCGAGACAGGTGTCCGTCAGGGAGGGGCGGTTAGCCCTATTCTATTCACTGTATATGTTACCAATATGCCTCTAAAGGATTTGAACCACGGATACTCTTCACAATTCTCAGATGATGTGGTAGTTTGGAAAAGCGCTCACACGCCGTCAATAGCAGTCACAAATCTACAACCTCAATTAAACAGAAGAGTCGAATACTGCAAAAAAATATCGTATTAGAATAAATGTCCCAAAAAATCAATTAGTAGTTTTTACAAAACTAACAAAACCCACCCGAACTGTATACGAACGGAGCACTTCTCCAGACTACAACATCAGCAAAATTCTTAGGATTAACGTACTATTCAAAATTAACGTGGATCAAACAGATAAGTAATACTGAAACCAAAGTTTGACAACGCACAAACTATGCTAGGAGTCTAACGGTCAAGAATAGTGGAGCAAGGGCTGTTAATATAATCAGAATTTACAAAACATACATACGTCCAGTGATGGAATATGCATGTCCCGCATGGATAAACGTGGCACCTAAAATATTTAAAATTAATCACAAACAGTACAGAATTCCTTACTTAGAACAGCATGCAAAGTACCAAGATCAGTATCATCAAAATTCATTCACAACTATGCAAACATATCAACACTTACCGATAGACTCCTACATAGCTCGATAGATCATTTCACAACAAAATTGGAGCAAACACGAATTACTATGTGAACTGGACCGTTACTGCATACACGATGAAGATAACCCTAAGCACCTCTCCCCAATTAATATATACATTATAAATACATTAAGGCCACCTAGACTTCTAATTCAACTTAAGTTTTAAGTTACTGAGACAGCATTAAAAAAGGCTATTTATGTGAAATACTCTCGAGGAAATGTAAAATTAACAAAAAATGTGAACAATACATCTTGAACTGTTTGCGAAGTGTAGAACTTTGCACTAAAGAATGATGAAATAATGTATTCAACGCATTAATAATGAAATTGTTACGACAGCGGAAGTCACGCGACGCTGGAGTTTCTCGAAGGATCATGAATTATCGAGCAACCCCGCGAATGTCCGAGTGTTTGCTAGACGCCCTCTTTTTTAGTATATAAGCCTGGCGAGAAAAACCAGCGGGATCAGAAGAGATATACACAGATTGAAGAGATAGATAATTGAGTCAAGCGAACCGTAAGTAAAGTGTGTGTGAATCACTGTGATTTATAGCGGGTGTTATAAAAGTTATTAAGTGTATTACAAAGTTTGTATCGAGAAAGAAAAATTAGTTTTAATCAAGAAGAGACTTGTATCGCTGAAGTTTCTCGGAAAGAATTTATACCGGAAATTAACAAACAAGCAGGTACGTAACAATATACTTACCTACATGGACATGGCCTTGATAGGGGTCAGAGTGCTCCAGCCACAGGTGGTGTCCAGAAACTACATCGTTACAGGCCTGAAACTGTAGCAGTCCGTGAAATTCTTCGTTACCACGCCCAGTAATAGAGCATGCCATTCCAGCATGGATTAATGTAGCATCATCCAATATAAATAAATTGAAAATTAAGCAATCACTAAAGCTTATAGAGTTCCCAGAACAACGAATTCTAATTTCATGCACAAGTATGCAAATATACAACTAATCCGTAACAGGTTCCTAGATTGTTTATTCAAGAGTTGTGATAAAACTTTATACAAGTGTGATTTATTAACTTCCATGGATCGTTATGTCATGCATAATGATGGTATTCCTAAGTATCTATCACAATTCATAAAAAAATCCACCTACACTAGACAATAGAATATCGCTTGGATTAAGTTATCTTAAGTGTATATACAAGTTTTTGTTTTATATGTTAAATACGTGTTCGATACTGTAATCAAGTGAAAGAGTGATGACCTGTTTATGGAACTGTTCGCGAGTGTATAACTACCAAATGAAGAGAATTAACAAATTAGCACTAAATGCTGTAGTATAATATTCGTGGACATGGCCCTGAAAAGAAGGAAGAAGGATTAGTATACATTTTTGTATGCTAATCTCATAATATTAATATGACATTTGACAGTTAACATCCAAAACCGTTAATGAGACAGGAAGAGGTCTGGAATAGAACCTGACCCTTCCCAGTCGTGCACAACGACACGACCAAATACCAATCATGATATTCGCTTGTAAAAAACGAGAGGAACGATATAAGATCACCAGATATGGGAAATTAGATTCGTTGAATAATTTGTGAGTGTTACAATTGGTTGATTTTAACACTGAGTTAACAACTTAGCAAGTTTATTAATTGGTTTACTATGAATTAAGTCTTGCGAAAATTAATTTTGTGTTTCAACGAAGAGCAGTGAGAAATATTGTACA